TATTATTTTTATTCAATTTATTTTTGGTCGCGTCTACTACATGTTAATTAGCGACCTATACAATTTGTCTAATGATAATATAGGATGATCAAAAATATGGAATTTTAATTTTTAACCATTTTAGAATTTTTATTTTTTGACAAAATTAAAATTTTTGAAAATCCATACGAGAGATTCTGAAGAATTATTAAAAAAAAATTGTGGAAAAAATTTCACGATGAAAAATACTTAAAATTGTGAAAGAAGATAGATATTTAAAATATTAATTTTCTAAAACACTTTATAAAGTCTTTATAAATTTGAATTTTTTCAAAAAATAAAAATTTTAAGAAGGTTAAAAATTAAAATTCTATATTTTTGACCATCCTGTATGTTTTTAGGACCCAAATGATGCAAGAAAAAAATTTAACTTCCTGCAAACATTAAAATTTAAAGGACTCAAAATAAAGGTGGTGACTCCCCTTAAGGGGGGAAACCACATTAGGACGCTGTTTTTTAGCCGTTTTTAGGGATTTTTTTTGAAAGGGGAAATTTTTTTTTAAAGAAATGCAAGAATGACATTATGTTGCACATATATTTATCTGTGTCTCACAATTTTTTTTAAGCATTTTTATTAAAAACATTCCAAGTTAGCAGCTATTAAACCTGGAGCTGCGTCGTTAATTTTTTTTTAATGAAATGCAAGAATGACATTATGTTGCACATATATTTATCTGTGTCTCACAATTTTTTTTAAAGCATTTTTATTAAAAATATTCCAAGTTAGCAGCCATTAAACCTGGAGCTGCGTCGTTAATTTTTAGTCTATTATTTTGCGTCTTTTTGATTAAAAAAAAGGTATTAAAATATTTTTTGCTTTTTAACGTTTAGTTCACTTAATAATAAATTTAATAACAATTTGCAATTATTTTTTTTCAATCTGTCAATAACATTTTGATCTATCCTGCACAGCAATTTCAAAAATCCTGTTTCGAGAAAAATGCGTTTGAAAAAAAGTATCGAAAATTTGAAAATTATGATTAAAAAAAAACCATTTAAAGTGTTTACATTTTAATCTACTATTCCTGCACCGTACATTAGTCCTTCCTCTTCTTCATAAGTCAAATCATAAATTCACAAAGGGACTTACTCAGCGACGTCGTTACCAACCTGCTTCGCTACTCGGAGCGAGCTTCATTCATTGCCTATAGCACAGACAGGACATCGAATTTCGCTGTAAAAACTTTTTCAACATATTTTTAAATACATAAGCTGACTATTTATGCAAAAGAAAATTCGATTTTTTGAATCCTCTAATGTGATTTTCCCCCCTTAAATTATTTTTAATTTACAGATGACTCAATGTGTTAACGGACCAATGTCAAAACCAATAAATACACCTCGTGCCGATTGCGAGGAGCAGGAACAATTTTGGTCATCAAAATCAGAAGACAATGAACAAAAAGAAAATAGAAAAAATCGAAGAAAAGAATGTGTTATACAAGGGCAACGGGCGTGTGCAAGAATAGGTCATTGTTTGGTGCGAGCTTTGGCTTGTGTTTTTGATTGAATAAGTTACACTTATATATTATATATAGTAAAAAAAATACTCTTTTACTTTTTAAGTAAAAGAAAATGAATGATTGCCAAAAAAGTGATATGAATGAATTAGGGATGAAAATATGTACAGACTTTCTGTAACTTGTCTATTTTTTAGAAAAATTCTTTAATTCATGGAAAACATAATGTAAAAATAATTTTAATTTACATTATTTTTAGTTTTCCTTAATATATTTTAATAATTTAATTTCTTTTTTTTTTAATGTATTGATATATATTTTTCTTGGATCGCGAATATATTTTTATTGATATAGTTTGTTATTATTTCTCATATATATTTTACCATTATATTGTTGTTATTGTTGTGATTGTTGTTAAAGTTAACAAAAAATATATATATGCGTAATATTTATTGTGTGTGGAGTGTGTGAAAAAAAGCAATTACTACTACCACCACTGACAATTTTTGTGTTATAATTTTATAATATATTATCATTATTGTTATTTCATTGTTATATTATCAAAAAAAAAATAATAATAATACAAACTACTGGCCAACTGATTTTACAATATTTGCATATTTATAGTTTTTTGTATATGCATTTAAATTGAACTTTAATAATTAAACAAGTTATTAATATTAATCAGTGTCAATAGTTTTTTGTTATAGCGTTAGTCATAATTTACTTGTTTAAAACTCTATTGATATTACTATTTTTATTTTTCATGGGTGATAAAATATATTGTATATTATTGTTTTGTCAAAAATCCGAAAGTCACGCATTTTTTGACAATTATTTTGAAACAAGACTAAAAAAAAATTGTGAATTTTAATAAAAATTTGGAAACTGTAACTCGAATTATTTATTTCATTTTGGGAAATGAATTTTTTTTAATTTTAACGCATAGTAGGGAGGCTAATTTTTATAAGAATTAAGATTTTTTTGGCTCATCTGTCTCTGCTCTTAGAACAGATATTTTTTAATGTTACTTTTGTTTATGTTTCGCAGCTTGAAATTTGATATTGATTTTTATAAAAAAGAGAGACTAATTTTAAAGAATGTCAATATTTTATGAGATCTAGAACATTTCAAGTGTTCTGGACCTTTTCCACTAACAATAGAAAATAAAAACATGTGTTGACCAGGTGTGACTGATTCACAAAATCAAGAAAAAGTCACGTATACTAAATAAACAAAGAAATACCATACCACATCTAAACTTGCAGCAATATTGGCAACATTTCCTAATTCACGAAGCTGAAGTACGCAACGTTTATATAAACGATTTTTAAAGAAATATTTTTTTAAAATGAAAAATTCTATAATTTTTTGCCTAAAAAATATTTTTTTATCATTTTTTGGTTAATGAAAACTGCAAGAAATATTTTTTAGGCAAAAAATTATAGAATTTTTTATTTAAAAAAATTGAGGCATAAAAAGTATATAGGGTAGGTTTTTAGGTCTGTGTAATTTTTCCCACCTTTTTTTTTTATTAGTAGTATTTTAGGTCTTAAATAACGTACCAAATATAAATAAGATATTATTTTTCAAGATATTGCACTGCAAATTTCTTGATACTTTTCTTCACTTGATTACAATTTCTTGATTTTTCAAATTTTTAAAATATGTAAGGGGAAATGCACTAATTACGGCGAGTTAAAACCGATTACGATTCGAGTTGAAACACCTTTGAAATAGAAAATTCGACATTTCTGTTGTATAAAGTCAATTTAAGACTTATTAAACTAAAAGTTTATGTTATTTAGATATTAAAAAAAATTTTAACTTTATAAAAATCGATTATTTAAACAAATATGAGAAATTAAAACTAAATTTTCTATTACGGCGCGTTTGTATCAGTTTAGGTGTATCAATTACGGTGACCAAAATTACGTGTATTTTGAAGATATTTTGCCCACTGTAATTAGAGCCAATAGAAATATTAAAAATGTTTCAATTACGGCGTGGTAAAAAATATGATCTCAAATAATTAAATTAATAATTGCTTAAATGTGCATTTTTATTAGTAATTGTATCAAAAAAAGATTAAAATCATTTTTTAAAATCATTTTACAATTATATTAAATATAATAGTAATAATAGTTATTTTTTATGAACGCGCTGTAATTGATGCACTTACCCTATGAACCTTTTTTTACGTCAAAAACATTGAAGTTTAATACAAAATTAAATTAAATTAAATTTCACTGTCATTTCTTATGTAAAATTTTCTCCTAAATCCGAATATGAAGTCACTAAGTCAGATTTTAAGAAAGTAGAACAGTTTTCGAGCTAAATTTCAAAATTTCTTGAGTTTTGAAAAAAAGTGGGTTCACTAATTTTCAAATATCTTCGGATGTAGTTGATCGATTTTAATTTTCTTTAAAGCATATTACAGGTGATTAAATTTTCTGTAAAAATGAATTATTTTACAGCATTTTTTTAATCAGATTGACGGTTTAGAAGAAATTTACGAATTTTTCTGGACTTACTCATTATTTTTAACAAATTTTTAGAAAATGATTGAGACTTTTCTTGTAAATTTGCATCACGTAAATTGATTACTTCCGATTTTTTTTTCTTGGACGTTAAATATCTTACGAAGAAAATAAACAGTTACAGATCAAAATTGAACTAAAAATATAAAAAAATATAGGCACTTAAGTAAAAATAGAGAAAATTACTTCTTATCGAATTTTACGATTTATTAACGATATATCACAAAGTTTGATGTTTTAAAAAATTTTCAAGCATCAAAAGTGGTTCAAACTCGATTTGGACTTTTTTTTGTATATGGTCATTATCTGTTTCTCGAATAGGAAACCAACAAAAATTTAAAGAATTAAAAATAATTAATTTATAATAACTACTGAATTGGTAATTGCTTTTGGATCTCAAATACAAAAAATTCGGTTTTCAATTACTAAAAGTTAAAAAAGAAGTTATTTGTTATCCACCAAACTGTTTATAATAATTATGATCGGTTTTTAAAAAATTTATTAACTATCAAAATATGTTTCTAGGTAAATACGTTAAAATTTTTTGCCTTTGTTAAAGTAATAATTGCTTTTTTTAAAAAGTTACGTTGTTTTTGAGGAAAAAAATTTTCCAACTTTAACATTAAATAAAGAATTGGAATTTTTTTTTTTTTAAACAAAATCAGAGGCATTATGCAGAATTTTATCATCTTTAAAACAAGACCAAGAACGTCAAAATCAGTTGTAGGCTAAATTTGTAGGCTCTATGTTAATTTGTCCACGTCCGATACAAAAATACAGAATTTACTTTTATATTTATTTAAAATTCCCGCTTTCATTTCAAAAGATTAATCATCGAATCAAAGAACCTTGCGCGTTATTTACGTAACTACGCTCGTAACAACGATTGTATACTATACTCAATAACAATATTATCTGCTATAGCTTTACTCCATATGATATACTAAGTTGTATCCAGCATGTTTTAAGAGTGTATTTGTTATACATCAGCACTGATATATATATATATTTTGTTTGTCACGGTTGTCTTATGGAACTATAATGAAATATCTGTGGTACAAAGTCCAAAAGTCCAGTATCAATCTGTAAATTCGGTGTCATTCTGGTCTATATGTTAAGTTTCATTTTCTCTCATCACTTAACTAAGGATTAAAATTGTATCAAGTGTGTATTATTATATTATTTATTTAGAAATAACATTTTTTTTATATTGTTTTGTTTTCTATACAAATACAGGTTTCTTGTAAATATTATTGTTCAAAGAACCGGTTATAATTTTTTACATTCTCATTAAAAAGTGAAAAAATATTTTTATTAACAAAATAATTGTTCAATAAATGAAAAATTAAAAAGACAAATCTCTCATTTTTCTTGTAGAAATAAACAAATACTTATTGAAAGTAAAAAAAAACTTTTTGTCAATAAGAACCAACGAATTCCGAGTGTTAGAAAATTACAACCGGTTCTTTGATCTGAATCCTGTTTTAACTGTACCTTATTTCATTCCACGTAGATAAGAAAATATTTTTCTATTAAGTTGGAATTTTTTTTCAAAAGTATAATTGATTTCTTTCTATATTAGAATATAATTAGTATTATTTTAATTGTTTCATAATTATTGATTTTAGAAACTTTATACAAAAATGGGAAGCACCTTTGTACCGAGACTTTTGGTGAATCGAATTTTTGCTGCAGAATTTAGAAAAAATATAAGTAACACAGTTCCAATTAAAAAATTTTACTCCTGTAAGTACGCAACAATCTCAATATTGTATGTTAATTATGAAAATTGCATAAATTATTTGTATTTTTTAATTTTGTATTGCGTACATTTTTTTTCTCGTTTCGATTGTTCGTCTGCTTTCTTCTTAAAATATTTAAAAATAATAAAGTAAAGATTTATTAATTTTTCAAATAAAATATATTTTTGAAAATTCGCCTTTAACACCTACTATTCTTTTATAACTTAAATGTATTATAAAAATTGCAGCAGCAGCAGCAGTTCAGAATTATGAATTCATTAAAGTAGAAACTACTGGTGAGAAAAAAAATGTTGCTTTAATTACATTAAACAGACCAAAGGCATTAAATGCCTTGTGTGATAAATTGATGACTGAGGTTAATGAGGCAGTTAAAAATTTGGATAATGAAAATTCAATTGCCGCTATTGTTATTACTGGAAGCGAAAAGGCATTTGCTGCTGGTAAGAAAAACAAAAAATAAATTCTCTCTATGTGAAAAAGAAAAGAACAAGATTCACTTAATTTTTTTTTAAAGAAAGGTTTAAAATTTTTATTGAATTTGTTTTCCTCAAATAATAATTTAAAAATAAAAGAATCGCGATTTTTTTATGAAAAAATTCGATTTTCAGAAGGGTTGAAAATTATTTTTTTTTTATAAGTAGAGGAGAGCGGGGTAAAGCCACTAATGTAACGTTTATTTGTAAATATTTTCGTTATTACACCATTTAAATTATAACCGTTAATACTGAACGAACTTACAGTAAATGTCCGAATATCTTTAAAACATAAGTATTTAGTACATTTTTTTAAAAAGAATTTTAGTTATTTTATAAAAAATAATCATTACTTGTATTTTTAACCTCACATTTTGAATTCAATTCTTTACTGTTTCATTAAAAAGTCTACTTTACCTTCTATTCAAATTGAAAAACTAAAACCGCGCGAAAATATAATAAAATAATAATGTTCATTTGGTCAAATTAACCCTTAGATTTTAGGGTTTTTTTTCAAAGAGAGTGTCAAAAAAACATGCAAAAAACATTTTCCAAATGTTAAGCAATTGGCTTGAAAATACGAATCCGACGTTAGTTTTTCAAAATTCAAAATGGCGGATCCAATATGGCGCATGACTTTTTTGAAAATCTAATATTATTGGCCTGAAAATTGTGACTCGGAGGATTCGTAATCAGCGACCCCGAAAACCTCCGAGTAACAATTTTCAGGCCAATAATATTAGATTTTCAAAAAGTCATCCGCCATATTGGATCCGCCATTTTGAATTTTGAAAAACTAACGTCGGATTCGTAATCAGCGACACCGAAAACCCCCGAGCAACGATTTTCAAGCCAATTGCTCAACATTTGGAAAATTTTTTTTTTGCAGGTTTTTTTTGACTATTTTTTATAAACAATATTTGTATTATTTAAATCTATTCATTTAATATTGATTCAAATTAATTTTGTATAAATTTTAAATAAAATATTTTTTTTTTAGTATATTGTTAGATTTTAGATGATTATGATTCTATTGTATATATAGAAAGTTTTTCAATGAGATTTAATTCTTTATAAATTTGTGGATTTTCAAATATTTCGGATTACTAATTTATTAATTATATTTTAGGTGCAGATATTAAAGAAATGCAAAATAATAACTATTCAGATTGTATTAAAGGAAATTTCTTGACACATTGGAATGGTGTGTCAGTTGCAAGAAAACCTATTATTGCTGCAGTTAATGGTTATGCAGTAAGTCAATTGAATTCTACATTAATTGTATATCGATTTCCTTTCATGTGTCTTCTAATAACTTCTATTCTTTTATAGAAAGCTCTTTAATTTATTTAGTTTGAATTTTTTGTTTATTAATTTGTTCCTTTTCTTGAGTTTCTATTTTGTTTTTATCTTTTAAAGCTTTAACATAACGTGAATGAGCGTCACAGACTGACTTGAAAATTGACTTGATTTGAAATTTTTTAAAATTTCTTTTCAACAAATTTAATAGAATATAATATTAGTTTTAATGTATATTTAATTAAAATTCCCTGTTTTTATTAAAAATCCCGGCTTTTTCCCGGTATACAAAATTCCAGGCTAATTCCCAGTTTTCCCGTTCGGTTTCACCTTTCTATATTTCATTTCATAGAACTAATTATAGGATTAATTCGTTATTTAATAGAATTAATATTGAAGGTAATTTGTATTCTGATAATTTGAATTCGATTTTTATTTTCAGCTTGGTGGTGGTTGTGAATTAGCCATGATGTGCGATATTATATACGCAGGCGATAAAGCACGATTTGGTCAACCAGAAATTACGATAGGAACAATTCCTGGTGCTGGTGGTACTCAAAGATTGACTAGAGTTGTTGGTAAAAGTAAAGCTATGGAAATTGTTCTCACTGGGAATCAAATTAATGCGGAGGAAGCTGAAAAATGCGGTAATTGTTGTTTCTACTCACAAATATGTTATTTTTGTTATTAATAATTTATATTATATTTATATATTTAAAAAAAATATATTTGTTTCTTTAGGACTCGTAAGTAAAGTATATCCAGCTGATAAACTTGTTTCTGAGGCTATAAAACTTGGCGAAAAAATTGCATCTCATTCTCCTCTAATAGTTTCAATGGCAAAGGAATCGGTAAAAAAAGGTAATTTAAAAAATTTATAACTGGGATCTTTTTTTAATAGATCATAGTTTTCGTTTTTGATTGCAAATTTGATATACAAAGTATAAATTATTTTTTTTAACATTTACTTAATTATTTATTTGCAGCCTATGAAACAACTTTAGAAGAAGGACTTCATTTTGAGAAAAGAATGTTCCATGGCACATTTGCCACGGTGAGTTTTTTTTTTTTAAATTAAAAAAATTATTAAAAATGCCTTAAATATATTTAATATTGTTTTATTTATCAAATATTTTTTTCTTTAACAGGCTGATAGAAAGGAAGGAATGACAGCGTTTGTGGAAAAGCGCTCTCCAAATTTTAAAAACGAATAAAAAATTGTTTTAAGTTTTTTTATAATGTTCACACTCACCGCAATATTGCCTGAATCAAATCGTTTTTTTTTTTTTAAATATTTTATAGTATATTTTTATAAGAAAATAATTTTTTATACACATAAACCGTTATTGTTACTCAATATTTTTACCTGTTAAAATAACAATTGCAATTTTTATAATAAATGCTATAAGAATTAAATTTGTATTTTTTACTTGTATGTAGTATTTTTTTCTACTATACAATTGAGGACACCAATGCAATAACCAGACGGACGCTCGGACCGGCCGCGCTGAAGCCAGTCAACGAATGAAAAAGTCGAAAAAATTAAAATTCAAAATTTTGATTTTTGAAATATACTACGTTGTAGAAAATAAAACGGCGCATCTTTTTTTCCTTTAACTTTTTTTTGTAGAATGAATAGTTTTGACAATAATTGCAAAAAACTAAATATTTTCAATCAACAAATTTTATTGAATTTTTAAACACAAATCGTTCCAGTTCCGACAAATATTAATGAATTTACTTCAACTTTGGTATACCCACGCATTTAGGTCTAGAGAAGACGATAGCATGATGAAAAAGTTAAAAACCGTAAATTATTTAATTATTTATTAATTTAAATAATAACTTACCTGTACTCTCGTTTTCCTATCTTCGCCGACAAAAAGTCTGTGGGGAACTTTTTCGTTGAAAACACTTCCAGTGAGACATTTGTTCCTCACATATCGAAGAAGTTTTGTGGAAAAATTCAGATCGATTTATTCAAAACTGACGAAGATACACAATTTTTAATGAAAAACAAGCAACGCCAATCAAAATAACTCAGCGATTCACGATCCAACACTGCCAGACGGCATTGTCGATAAGGTCGATGTTCAGCAATATAAACACACAAATCAGCCAAAGCGTTGCGTGTTTTTTATTAAAAATTGTGTATTAAAAAAAAAAGAAATTGAAAAAATCATTGAAAATTCATGTTTTTTTTATAAAATAACCATCTGTAATTTGTTTATTTTTAAATTTGCAATTTTTTCCAATACACCATTTGAAAGAGCAATTCCTGAGCCATAAGAAATGTCTATTGCGTAATTTTTTAAATTGCGTTTTTATGTTTAAAAATAATGCCAAACTTTAAGTAAAATTTTTATACTTTTGAGTATTTTTCTGAAACTCGTTATTTTTGAACTCAAAATCTACTTGACTAATCGTTCTGAAAATTAGTACAGTACTTATTGACATAATTTATCAGGTATCATTGAGAGCTTTTTTGAAAAAAAAAATAAAATTACTAATTTTATAATAACAAATTAGCCGATTTTTCATAGAGAAGATCGGTTTTTTGGCTTCCCCCCTTAAAAGAGTAGAAAATTATCTACAAAAAACATTGGTAAAATTTTAAAATCCATTGATCCGAATAAAAGTTATTGACATTTGAAAATTATGCTACCAAAAAATTGAGCCCCTGATAACATGGCAACCACGCATAACGCATAAAATTCTCAGTTTGATTGCTCTTTTTTTCTAAACTTGGTCGATTTCAGAGTGCCCAGGTTAACTTCTAGAAATTTTGTACCTTTCTATAATCGTAAACGTAGTACAGCATATATGTTTAACGCGCCTATTTTTTTTTTGCGTGTTTTCATATTAACCAAATGTATAATGATATGAATCCTGATTTTGATTTATTTTTTTCATCTAAAACAGATTTTCTTAAATGTCTCGATTCTTACGTTAATCATTTACGTGTTCATAGATAACTTGTAACATAATTGGAAAATTTTTATTGCCATCGATTTAAATTGTTTGTTTCTTTTCTCATTATTTTGTATCCCATATATAGTCCAGTTAGGACTGCGGGAAGATATTATTATTGTAAATAAATAAATAAATAAATAACACAGACCTAAAAACGTACCCTATACTTGTTTTTACGTATATTTTGACAAAAAAAAATTTTTTTTTGTGTGGTTTTCTTCAGAGAATACTTATTTTAATTTAGCTTTTAACCAAAGTTTAACAAATTCGAACTGCATTCGGTTCAAACTCACAGGTCTCGGATCGACTTTAAGGCAAAAAGAAGAATCGTTTTAGTCGATTTATATTCCAAAAAATTCGAAAAAGTCAATTTTTTTATTTTAACAAAATTTAATTGGTCAATGAATATTTTTCATTAAGTAACTAATGTTATTAGATATTAAATTCATTTTATTAATTCTGTAATGAGAATAATTCTATAATGAATATTATCAAGAAAATTTATTTCGAATATTTCATAATTGAACTAATTGTAAGACAAATTTTCAAAATTTTATTCAAGTAAGACAAATTTCTAAAAAAAATTCCATTTTTATAATTTTTTCAAGTCTGATTTAAGCAATTTATTTGAATTAAAAATTTTGTCATTGCACAGTGGCCGATTTCCCGAAAAACCTGGCCAAAAGTCAAAAAATTTTTTTTAGAAATTTATACTTTTTATTGTTGAATATTATAAAGGAGGGTTCACTGCATAATTTTGCGAAAAAAAATTACACTTTTTTTATCACCAATTTATTATGTGAACAAGTAAAAGTGATCTTTGCCAGAGATTTACTCAGAACGTTTCATAACTATAAATTTTCGTCACAGTTAAAATAGTGAAAATATACTAATATACAGCAGATTTTTGAATATCTTTTTTTGGGAATTATTAACAAAGGTGTATGAAATATGTTGAATGTATTTATAATCACATTTAAAACGTACAGTTTTTAAAAAATGACATTAAACATCGCTATTCATGGCGACGATTTTTGTATTGTTTTATCAACGTAAATCAAGAAAATAGTTGTGAAATCCACCGATATCCGCGCTCTACCTGGTATTATCATAAACTAGAATATATTTTTAATTCATTTTAATTGAAATCAGTTGCCCCAAGCTGCCCCTGCAGTTTTGGTATCACTTTTTATTTCACTAAGCGCGGTTTACCGACAGCGCGTTGCACCGGCCGGCGGTGCAACTGAACGTGAAAGGCTGACTTTTTCTTCATTCGCATTCGCTTTAAACTAAAATTTAAGCACTGTCTGTAATTTAAAAAAAATAAGCTCTAACACATTTACGCAATTTTATAATACCAGCAAATATTTTGGATCCGCCATATTGAATTTGATAAAACAAATGTAAAATTTGAATTCAGAAACCCAAAAAACATGGATATACCAATTTTGATTGAAATCGTATCATTTTTCGATTTTCAGCAAAGTTTTTTAAAATCTAAACGGCCATTTTGGATCCGCCATTTTGAATTTGACACAACCAATGTAAAATTTGAATTCAGAAACCCAAAAAACATGGATATACCAATTTTGATTGAAATCGTATCATTTTTCGATTTTCAGCAAAGTTTTTTAAAATCTAAACGGCCATTTTGGATCCGCCATTTTGAATTTGACACAACCAATGTAAAATTTGAATTCAGAAGCCCAAAAAACATGGATATACCAATTTTGATTGAAATCGTATCATTTTTCGATTTTCAGCAAAGTTTTTTAAAATCTAAACGGCCATTTTGGATCCGCCATTTTGAATTTGACACAACCAATGTAAAATTTGAATTCAGAAGCCCAAAAAACATGGGTATACCAATTTTGGTTGAAATCATATCATTTTTCGATTTTTGGCCAGGTTTTTCGAGAAATCGGCCACTGTGCATTGTTTTTAGTTTTGATGGTCAAAAAAATTTCAGGCAATACTCAATCAAGTTTTATAAATTTTTAAATAATAATTTTAGAAAGAGTTAAAGTTGAAATTTTTAAAAACAATTGAATTTAAAAAGATTTTCTTCATTTTCAGACAATAATTAAATTTTACAGAACTAAAATTAATTTATCAAATAATTTTAGATAAAATTTTTTAAAAGTAATTAAATTTTCAAAGATTTACAATTCAGATTTTTGAAATTAATTGAACTTCAAATGTTTGATGATTTCTGTTACTTAAAAAATTATTAGAAACTACAGAAAAAAATACAATAATTTGAAAATCATTTTCAAGTGCAAAATGGTTTCAGATTGAAAATAATTGAATTTCAGGAGAGTTATAATTGAAATTATTAAATTTTCAAAAAAATTTTAGAAATAGTTAAATTTTAGTAGCTTTTCAATTGAAATTTTTAAAAATAATTGAATTGCAAAAGATTGTGTTAAATTTCAGACAATAATTATAATAAGAGAAATTTCTAATGATTTCTGGAGGCGCATGAATAAACCCCAAATTTGTTTTTTCGAATTTCGTCAGATTATATAATAAAAATAGTTTCAAATTATTATTTGACAGAATTTTTTAACTTCGAAAGAACAATTTTTATAATTTTCAATTTACCAAATAATCATTTCTCATAATTATTATTGTAGCGAATTAGTATTTTTCATAATTTTTATTTTTCCAAAAAAACTGTTTATACTATTTTTGATTTTACATAATTATAATTTTTTATAATTTTTTTTTTCTTCGAATTACCATTTTGTATAATAAATATTTTTTCACACAATTATTTGTTCTAAAATTTAATTTATCAAATTTATATGTTTCCTATATTTTTAAAAGTTACGATTTGCTATTTTGTATAATTTTAATTTTACCGAATTGCCATTTCACATAATTTCTAAATTTTTTAATTATTATTTTTCCGAATTTTAATTTTAATGAATTATTATAATATTCAAATTATTTCTTTTGCGAATTATCATTTAACATAATTAATCAGGTTGTCTAACAAGGATTGAGAAAAAAATTCCCTGACTCCTCCCTGATATTCTTTGATTTTTTCCAGACTTTATAATAACCTTATTTCTCCTTTCTTTGGACAAAAATATGGTTACTGACATATTTAACAATAAATTAATTTCTAATGGTAATAACAAATGATAATAAAAACCATTCAAGTTTTTTTAGATTAAAAAATTTTTAAATTCACAAAAAATTTTAATTTTTATTGAAATTTACAGAAATTTTTCTAACTTTGGAATGAAATTTTCTGAAATTCCCTGACCGTTAGACACCCTGTTTTCATTTCCCCTAATATTTATTTATTCTAATCTCTATTTTCTCGAATCGAAGAAAAAAATTATTATAAGAAATTGGTAATTATGTAAAATACAAAAAATAGTATAAACTTTTATTTGGGAAAATAAAAAATTATAAAAAATACTAATTCGCTA